AACCACCTAAGTATTGAATAGGGGTGTTTCCCACCGCTGGGCCTGCAGGACAGGGCGGGCTACACACCCCCCGAACTCCCCCGCCCGCCCTGGGGGGTGGGGGAATTCTGGGAGTTGAAGTCCACACGTCTTCAAGCTGCCTAGGTTGAGAAACACTGTTCTAGAGGCATGGTTTAAAAGTAAAATAAATTACATTCCATGTGCAGTTTGGAAGTCCAATTTGATTTCTTCCAGCTGGTCGGGGCCATTTCTACTTTTTCCATTTCCATCTTGAAAGCTACTCCTAATTTTGGAAGCGGTAGCCTGCCATGTTAAAAGGGAGGGGCCTGGCTTTGCCAGTTAAGAGGTCTCTAAAATAAAAATGTCATTTGCAGTCCCATCTACTTTACGGCGCCTGTGGTTTTTGACATACAGCCTTTTAATTTGTGGAACGTGTTTCTGGTTTTGTTCTTTTCTCCTGAGAAAAAAATCACGTCAAATACAGTGGTACCTCGGGATATGACCGCCTCTACTAACGAACATTTCGGGTTACAACCAACTCGGGATATGTCCAGAGTCACAGAACGGATTAAGTTCGTATCGCGAGGTACCACTGTATATGATTTGTCCGCTGGAGTTGGGGATCAGGGATCAGTCAGATGGAAGAAAGAAAAGAAAATACGGGAAGATTTCATTGTGGGGGATCATGTGCACTTTAAAATTATGGGACGTCCATCAAAATGTGGCAGTCTGACATCTGCCTTGACTCCTATCAGTTCTGTTCCTATGGTTTTCCAAAACCAACCGGGATTCCCAAGATATGAGCTGAGTAACCCAAACGGTTTGATGGCTGCTCGATTATACGTTTCTGTATTTCAGGGAACAGCCGTTGGGGTTTTTTCCTTGTCCGCCTTCCCCGTTTTTAAGTCAACCAGAAATCTATTTCGTGTTGCTCAAGAAATCAGTCCCATGTCCCTTAAGGCAGTGTTCCTCAACCTTGGCAACTTCAAGCTGGGTGGACTTCAACATGGCTGGCTGAGGAATTCTGGGAGTTGAAGTCCACACAGCTTGAAGTTGCCAAGGTTGAGGAACACTGCCTTGGGGCCATTGTGGGCCCCCTTTAGCAAAGATTTTTATTTTAAAAGGATTTTGTTTGGTAAATTGCAAAACAAAGCAAGTCTCCAGAAGGCTTATTTATTTTGGGGTACCCTAGATGATGATAGAGCTAGTTTGCCCCTCAGTAGGGGTTTTAAGATGGGACGCCTGCCCCATGGTGGCTGTTTTGTGACTAGAGAAGTTGGAAGACAGTTTTTAAGCGGGCCTGAGAACTGTATGTCCAGTTATCAGTATTAAAGCTCTGATGGTCATCTCATTGCTTTCGCTAGCCCGCACAGCCATTTTGGCTCTCACTGTGGATTACCCTTGGGGAATCCGTCTTCTCTCCCCAGAAGTCCCACATGGTCTTGTTGACTGGTTCATTGCCCAAAAGGCAGAAGAAGGAACGAAGAGGATTGTTGATTCTTCTAGATCGGATCCTCACCAAGAGGGAAGTGCTGGTTGAAGAAGAGAAAGCCGATGGAACATGGGGAGAGAGTGACCCGTCCGTCACCTTGGAGTTCAAGATGCAACAGAAAGAGAAATTGAAGCACAGCCATTTGCCTCATCCATGCAGCATCTGTGCCTGGCACAAAGCTGCCCTTCTGTTTTTAAAGGACATGTCCTCATGCCAGCACTAACCTCGTATCAGCCGGCAGCTGTGGCGGCCCAAAAATACTTTCAGGTGCTGTGCTCTAGAAGTGATGTTTTCCCTCTTATTCCAGCTCAAGACATCCCATCTGGACAGTCTGCAGCTTATGGAGGAAGAGAATTAAGATGGTGCAGCCAAGGGGCCAATCTGTTTGGCCTTATTTGGTTTAGCAGGTCTGCTGAGGGACTGTCCCCAGGCCCAGTGCCTGTTCAATAATGCTCTCCGGCTGGGAGGAAGGCCAGAACCCCGGCTTCTGCAGCTGTTTTTATTAAAGATGGGCCCAGAGGTTCCCAAACTGTCTTGATTCATGGCACCCTTAGTGTTGCAAAGATACAACATCACAAATGAATGTTGCAAATATTTTAAATATCCTGCAACACTCCTATGAGTTTGCAGTGCTCCAAGGCATCGTGGCACATGGTTTGGGGATTAGGAAGTGAGCTCTGAAATTGACTAGCCTGTCTTGCCTTAATGCATATAACTGAAAGTGTTAATTGAAAGGACTTAGGTTTAATAGCCTGTGTGGGGAGGGATCCCTTTTCCTGTGCTCCCTCACTTCCCACAAGTTACCTCCAAGGGAGTTCACACCAATTCTCCCAGCAATATCCCTTTTTCAAATTGCAGCTCAACAGCTGCCTCTGGGTTGTGTAGAACTGAACCACCACTGCATGGCAGCTGGGAGACGTTAAAAAAAAAAAAAAAAAGTTTTGTTGCCTCCTAGCGACCACCCAGTCAAACCACCAACTGGTTGATAGTTACAAAGAACTTTTGTAAAAAGTTCAATCCATGGCCAGTTTGGCAGTGAAGACAATGCCCAGTTGCCGTGCATGGAGTATTGTGCATGGCAATGGGAGGAGAGGTTTATCAGATGGTGCATGACATTGGACAGGACTGGAATTTCAGCTGAGGGAATCTCCAGTCAGGTTTTTTGGAATGCTGCGTGTTGATGCATATGCGCAGTGCAAAAGAAGTATGTGCTGGAAGTGGGGGGCAGCAAGATTGAGGGTGGAGTTTGACTGAACTATGGAGATGTTATGGGTAGAGGTGCTCTTTTAAATATTAAGTTAACTTGGTTAGAGGCTAAATTGCAATGTGCCAGGCTAGTTGGGTTCACACTTCCACAGTGGGCTTTAAGGTAATTTGCTTTTGGCTTAGTAGCAAAAGGTGTGAGCTGCGTCAGTGTGGTGTATAAACAATGATTAAGGCATTTTGGGAAGCAATCAAACAAGACTTCCTCAAAAAAACATGGTTAAGTAAATTACATGTTGCTATAACATGAATGCTAAAGTAGGGAAGCTTGAAGGTGACACAGAATCCTTTACATGGCTAGGATGTTACCGACTTTAAAAATACTTAGAGGGAAAGCTAACAGACGCTTCTCAGAGCAGACAGAATCTGGCAAAGTCTGATTTTGTCATCCTAGCTTGTAGATTTCTTCGACTGATGGAGAAGGCTGCGCTCTGAAGTTGCATTTGCCAGGATTTTTAATCCAAGTTTGCTGAACATGACATTAAAGTCTGGTTAACACATGTTAAGCCACAGTAGCTGGGTTCACACCTTCAACTCAACTGGAAAAAAACCCCAACTATGTAGGCATTACCTTGTTAGGACAGCCCAGCTCAATTTTTTAAACTATTTACTTTAAAACAGATGCAGACCAATGCTTACGCAAAGGTCCCCAATCTTTTTGGATCAGAGTGGAAATTGAAATATCGAGAGCCCTTTCTCAAAATAATTTGCCATACTGGGGGTGGCCAATTCCAGAACAGACCATGATCAGAAGCAAATGGGGCACCAGTTGCCCACCAGCTGATTGAGAAGTCCTGTGGGGTCTTCCTGGGTCCAGAGGAATGGTTTGAAACAGTCTGCAGCTGATCGTTTGCTTTGCAATGTGCTAGCTTCCAATTCTTAAAAAAAATAGAAAAAAATAGAGAAAGGATTTAGCAGGCAGCGAAGACATTGGTGGGCACTTTGTCACTTCCAGCTGCCACACTGGGGACGCAGGGCTGCGGACCCCAAGCGTAAAGTCCAAATAAACTCAACAACTGGAAGAGGACCAGAACAGGTTTCCTAGAAACATCAAACACTCCTTTATACCATATCCGACAATTCGACTGTTTACTTCAACACTCCCATCTCCGGAGCAGAGTTTGCACAAGTTTGGCAAAAAAGTAGGTACCAAGGGTTCTGCAAAAATGCCCACTGAAATTAAGAACCAAAGTGAATGGCGATAGAGGGAACAAAGTAGCTTTTATTGGCGTGCACAACTCCAGAGACCGCTGGGTTTCTGCCAAAGCATGGCTGGCTGGGGAATTCTGGGAGTTGAAGTCCACACAGCTTGAAGTTGCCACGGTTGAGGAACACTGCTAGATAGTATCATTTAGTTCTATAAACAACGGTGTCCATTTCCTTCCTCTGTTCCCTGCATCGCGTTCACAGAGTCTGGTTTCGGTCATCTGTCCCCATTCCAGAGTCACAGCTCTAGCCATTTGGTTTTGTGTGCGATTTCACTGTGGTTGGCTTTCATTCCTGCAGAAGCCCCTTCTCAATATCAAATCAAATTCTGACCACATTCAATGACGTGTCAATGAATCAAACCTCCACACACATTTCTGGCTCACCATTTGGGTTTACAGAAGAACGTTCAGACCAGCCCTGCTGGGATGATCACAAGGAGGAGGCAGAGACACAACCCCCTCCCACTACTGCAACTGGCTTTGCAATACACAAGCACACACTGATTACGGGCCATCAAGTTGCTGTTGACTCCTAATGATCACGCAGATAGATTTTCTGGTTCTGGATACTCTTTGGATCATAGGAGAGGGCAAAGGAGGGGGGGTGCCCATTCTGCTTCTGACCCCCCCTTGGCAAAAACAACAATTTTCTCCCTAGTTTGTCTCTGAGGTTGCAAAGAACAATTGAAAACTGGAACCCAACTGGAAAAGGAACCTCATTTCGTGTGACAGCGGAACCTCTCAACACCTCTGCTCTAGGAAGCACAGGTCTACTGATTTTACCCCTTGAAACCAGTGGCTCCCTAGGAAAAGCTTCAACCACTTTTTTAAAAAATGAGGGAGAACTCTGAGGGTTTCTGCCCTGATCCCAGGTGTGAACCGAGCCACCGCCCTATGGCATAATACAGCAATTTCTTTGGGCAGAGCATGAAAGACAAATAGGGCATTTGGGTTAACCCAGCTTCTGCATTTAAGTGTTAAAACACAACGTGCTTGGATTAGTGTGTTGTGCAAGCCCAGCCAGTGGTGACTTTGTCTGCAAATCATGGGTAAAGAAATCATGGCTTTAATGTGATGTTATTAAACATCTGCCTATCCCAGGTCCTTGGGAAGGACTTGATAGGTGGAGAAAAATGCCAAATCCAGTCTGAACATCTGGCTGATTGTGCGACCAACCATAATAATATATGAATATGAATAAAGATGGATCTACACAGGCAGATAACCCAGTAGTGATTTTGGGGAGCCAGTCAATGTACCTGGAAGAGTGCTGTAGGTGAGAATGTATCATAACTCGGCGCCTAAAGAGATCTTTCTCAATCTGGTGTCCTCCAGATGTGGGACTACAACTCCTAGCATTCCCAGCCACCACTTGAGAACCACACTTTTGAAGAGCAACAGGCAGGTCTAAAACAATGCAGGAGGATTGCAATAGTGGGCTATGGGGCTATATGTTCTTCTTACTTCTTGCCAAAATTAAAATTATAACGCTTCCTCCCCATTTTCGAAGACATCCTTAGCTACATGTCCCATCTGGGATGGCTTCTTCGATCGTTGGCAGACACAAGCCGTCCCATTTCAAAGGAGGAACATTTCAAAGTCACCTGAGCTGGCTTTAGAAAGACAGATTTGCTGGACTACAATGCCCAGCAACCCCTCACCACTGGCCAGATGGGCTGTGGTTATCAGGAGCTGCCCTTTAACATGGTCCAGAAGGCCCCAGCATTCCAGCCTTGCAGGAAAAATGGAAAGGCACTGAAAGGTTTCTACCAACAAGAATCATGTTAAGCCTGGTTAATTTGTAGCTCAGTATATCATAGCTGTCATTCTGACTCCTGGAGGAAAAAAAATCAGAAAATCAGGTTGACAGATGGAATGGAGTCTCCTAGGAAGGAGCACAGCAGGCTAGAACCTTGGACAGACACTCCACCCTGGAACATTTTTTTTTCTCCGTCTCCCCTGGATACTCTGCCTGTGGATTTTGCAAGATCCTTCAACCGGAGTCTCATTCCCATACTCCAAATGGATTTTATAAATTTATTATCTCTCATACCCAGTATTTACACACAACAATCAAAATCCAGTTTAGCTATTGAAACTGCTCCCTGCCCCCCACCCCTGAAACCGGACCATTAACATTGCCAACAAAAGGCAAAACTCTCAGCGAGGGATTCCCAAGGGAATACGTACGGGGAACACTGGAAAGATTTTGCACCTTTTAATGACCTTCCAAGCTTCAGAGAGGTGGTGCTCGGAAAGAAAAGTCATGGATCGGTTGACTTCAGCGTAGGCATCTAAGAACGGAAATGCAAATGCAAAGACTTCTGATGCACCAGAAGGAGCACGTCAGCCTTCCAGCGCCACTAAACTGTTTGCGGGATTTGGTGAAAAGACGAGCATGGCCACCCCCGTGTTAAACATTTGGGGAGAATCTGCTGGAAGCTTCCCGTCCGTGTGGATCCTCTGATGCAAAGTCAGGTTGGTGCTCTGGCTAAAGCTTTTCCCACACTCAGAGCAGGTGTAAGGCTTCTCCCCGGTGTGGGTTCTCTTATGTCTAATAAGGCTCGATTGATCCCGGAAGCTCTTCCCGCAGTCCGTGCACATGTAGGGCTTCTCCCCCGTGTGCATTCGCTGATGTGCACTGAGGCTGCCCCTGTGACTGAAGCTCTTGCCGCACTCGGAACACTTGTAGGGCTTCTCCCCCGTGTGAACCCTTTGGTGCTGAATGAGGCTCGGTTTGTCGGCAAAACTCTTGCTGCAATCCGGGCACTGGTGCGGCTTCTCCCCCTTGTGGATCTTCTGATGCCTCAGAAAGTTGGTGCTCTTGTTGAAACTCTTCCCGCACTCCAAGCACTGGTACGGCTTCTCCCCCGTGTGAATGATCTGATGCGAGGTGAGGTGGGCGCTCTGAACAAAGCTCTTCCCGCACTCCAAACACTGATACGGTTTTTCTCCGGTATGGATGATCTGATGGGAGGTCAGGTGGGCGCTGCGGCCAAAGCACTTCCCGCATTCCAGGCATTTATACAACTTCTCCCCTTTCTGGAATCTTGGGTGTTTCAACAGGTTGGATGGACCATAAAAGCTTTTGCTGAAATCAGAGGGTTTATGTTGTCCTTCGTCAGCCTGGACGGCCTGATACAATGGAGCAGCCAAAGCCCCAACAAACTTCCCTCTATCCTCCAGGTACGTATATGAACTCTCCCCTCCAGCAGGCGTTTCCGCGTCTCCAATGTTCTTCCCAAACATACTTTTCTGGGATTCAATCTCAGTAGACATTTCCCAGTGATCACTGAGACACTCGTCCCTTTCCTTTTCTTCCTGGTTTTTCTGCTGGAGCAAGATTCGTTGGAAATCTCCGACCGGACAAGGAAGCGAGTTATCTGTCCATCCTTCTTGTGGGTTTCTTTCTCGGTTTGCTGGCTGAACTCGACTCCACGCTTTCTCTTCAAAGGGTTCCTGATCAGTTCCGCCAGAGAAATTCCCACATGGTTTCCCCGCAGTCTCATTTTTCCATTCAGATCCTGTTGGAATTAAGATTGGAAGTTAGAGCACAAACTAAACCATTCAGAAGGAGCATCTTCCAGATCTTTGGGGCTCCAAATTAAATTATTAGTAGTAATATTAATTGAATTTATATGCCGCCGGACTCCCAGCAACTCTGGGCGGTCATCCCAACCAAGAGGATCAAAGGGACTGCAGCAGCTGTGGCCCAAACATCTGGGAAGCACCAGGATGCTAAATTAGTAGGATTTTAACATTCCCTCAGTGCAGTTTTTATCCTTTCTAGAAGGCAAAAAAATAATGAGAGAACAGATGAGCCGAGAAATGCCCATTTATTTTCAGTTAGGCAGATAGTCTTCTTATACCAGGGGGCTCATTTGAAAATCTGGAACCACGTTGAGGAAGTTCTCCTAGAAGGACTGTATCAACAAGGGATTACAAGATGATGGGCAAGGCCCATCTCAAAACACCAACTTACCAGAACATATTAACATTTCTCCCTGATTTCTCTTCTAGCCTCTCCTGGATGCTGCCTCCTCAGCTTTCTCTCTTGCCTGAGAAAGTAGCCTCCTGGCTGGAGCCCTGGCCAGAATTTTCATTTTCTAAGAAGGTATGATGCTGGCATTTTGGTTTCCAGCAAGCTTCCCCCTTATTTATTTATTTAAGCTTAATATATCTTCTAGGACAAGAAGGACAAGAGAACTCAACAAACTCCAAAGAAACTTTGATGCCCAGGCATTTTGATATCTAAGGTTTCCATTCACTAACTTGAGCTACGAAATTCCATTTATATTTGTCAAGCTAACCTAGACCAATTACAGCAATGATACCAGCATTTTTCAAACTTGGCAACTTTAAGATGTGTGGACTTCAATCCCCAGAATCCCCCAGATAAGCATGGCTGGCTGGGGAATTCTGGGAGTTGAAGTCCACACATCTTAAAGTCGCCATGTTTGAAAAACAGTGAATTACAGCAACCTTCCATTTTATTTGACTGCAGTCTGTGCATCTCATCCAGCATATAACTCAAAGGAATGAAGATCCTGGTTGATTTGTCTTTTGAAAAATACCACAATGTTCTTTCTTTCCCCCAAGGCAACCCAGGGGCATACAAAATCTATGAACAGGGCAATAAAACTGAAAATATTTTTATGAGCTGAAAAAATAATCCTACAAACTAAGAAAGGAATTCCTGATGTACTACCTTCATCCATACAAATGTCTTCCTAGGAAGAAATATTGAATAGGGATGTTTAAAAATGTTGCATCTCTTATATACAGTCCCAAATTGTGTGCGTTTTTAATATATTCCTGTGTATTTTATTTCTACTTTGTATGTTGTGTTCATGTTTTGTTTATAAATTAAACAAAAAACCTTGACAAATTTAAATAGCAACATAACAAATTAATCCACAAAGACTCAGCATCCCCAAACCAACCATTAATTTAAATCAAGTCTTTCCCATCCTGGTCTCTTCTAAAACTGTTGCATCGCAATTCCCCCCATAGCCAGCCCACCCATGCTGGCTGGGGATAACAGGAGCCCTAGTCTACAGCATCTGTTCGGGGGTAGACAGATTCTGATCAGTTAACTTTTGGGAATTTGGGGCAATCAGTTAAACTCGCAAAATCCTGGAAGGACTGTCCACTTGGCCATAGGGAAAAATAGAGCCTGTCTTCTTACCTAAGAGGTCAGCGTTGATGTCATTGTCCTCCTGTTTGGTCTCTACATACAGCACCTTCCACTCAGCATCAGATGCAGCCTGGCTAATTCTGGAGATTGTTCCTGCCTGTAAAGGAAAGATTGCATTCCCCCTCTATCAGCCCCTTGGTCACTCGACAGTGAGGATAGAAAATGGGCAGCAAACTCCAAGAATAGAGTTTTCAACCTTCAGGGATACAAACGTTGGGTGTGGCCTCCAGAGCCGTTTGACCAATGAGGCCACCAAGTCAGGACACTGGGGTGCACATTTAGAGGCCCAAAGCTGACTGCTCTGGAGGGATACCAAAGGATCGTGAAATGCAGAGACCACAGTAGTCCTAACTTAACATCTACTCATTCAGCAATTGTTCAGTGTTACGACGGTGCTGAACAAGGGGGACTTTTGACGGGTCCTCATAATTGCAGTCGTCACAGCATTCCCACCGTCATGTGATCATGATTTGGGTGCTTGGCAACTGGATCGCAATTATGACGTCGCAGCGTCCCACGGTCACGTATTCACCGTTTGCAACCTTCCCTGAAGGTTTCCCATGAGCGAAGACAACGGGGAACCTGGCAGGAAGTCACAAATGGCAATCTCGTGAATGCAGGACATGGTGACTGTGTGGGATTCTCCTCACGACAACTGGGACTGCCACAACTGCCGTCATAAGTCAGCATGATCACGTGACATCACACCTTACAACTGCATCCCTTAGCAACAGAGTTCTTGGTCCCAATTACCGTTGGTAAGCGAGGACTACCTGTATTTGCATGGATGATCAACAGACCAGGGTGGGGTAATTAAAAATGGGTTGGGCAAGGATCTCTGCTCCAGAACAACCCTCTCGTCGACGTTCCCCGCACCCCATAGAAAGGACATATTGAAATACCCCTGTGTGGTTTTCCTGCATGCAGAGCTCTTCCTGCTTCCCAAGGAAGTCCTCAACCAAGACCACCGCCTGGGAGCAGGTCTCTGGGCTGCACTCCCGGACCCAGCGCTGCATCTCCGCAGGCAGGATGGCCAGGAACTGCTCCAGGATCAGCAGCTCCAGGATCTGCTCTTTGGTACACACGTCCACCTTTAGCCACCGCTGGCAATGTTCCTGGAGTCTGCAGTAAGCCCCTCTTGGTCCCTCAGCTTCCTGGTAACGGAAGCGCCGGAAACGCTGGCGCTGCTCCTCCCTCCGCTGGGCATCCCCTCGCAAAATGGCGGCCTTCACTTTCCCATAATCCCCCTTGCTGCACCCTTCCAGGTTCAGGAAGGCCTGCTCGGCCTCTCCGCTCAATGCTGGCCGGAGTCGGGCCACCCACTCCTCCTCAGGCCACTGACAGGCCTCAGCCACTTGCTCAAAGGAGCCCAGGAAGGCCAAACTGTTTTCCCACGGATCTGTGGGTGGTTTAGAGCCCCCCGGGCATGGGGTCTCCACTGTCTTCAGGAACTCCCGCCATTGAACTTCCCACTGCTGAAGGGATCCCTCGTCTGGTTCCTGCTTGACCTCTCTTCCCGTCCTCCGGGGCAGGGATTCCCCCCCACAAGGGTCTTTCTTTGCTCCCGGCGGGCAATCCCTGGGGCCCCGCTCCTCCATTTTCCTTCTCGGAGGGTCTCCTGGCAAAAGCACCACCCAGCCCGATATTCCAGAATCTGTCCCGAAGATCCAAACCGTTGCAATGGTGCTGGAAGGGCAACAGGGTTGAGTTCTCAGGTTACGATCTCCAACTCATTGTTGGGTGGTCACAGAAGTAAAGCTGAAGACACAAAAAGAATTTGCAAATCAGCCACAGTGAGAGCTAGGGGCTCGGGGTTGTTGTTTTTAAAAATGCCTCATTTCTTTGCAAACAGAGCAGAACTGAAAAAAAATATTGGGGTTAAATCAGGTCTCTTTGGGAGATGATGGGCATTTTTGGAGCCAGTCAGGGGCGCTTGCAGAAAAGTGGCCCAGGTCACTTCTTCTGCTGTGCTAGGCATGGCCAATCACAAAAGGAGAAGGCAAAAGTGTGAGTTTACTCCTCTTTCCAGGATATTCCCTACATATTCTTGGTGGATGAGCACATTTCTAAACAAAGCCACCCACCATTTTATTTTCTCTTCTGAATGGACCATGGAGCCTATGGAAGAGCGAACAGCTCTTGGCTCTGCTATATATCAGGTTTCCATTTAATATTTTTTACTAAGATTCTAAATTTTAAAAAAACATTGCGTATGAGCAGAGAGCCAGGTAAAGTGCAAAGGAGGTGAAGAGAAACAGAGAGGTGACCTTGGAGAAGATATGCAGAGCATCTCTTAGTAAAACATGAGCTTAGCCCGGGAAAACAGGAACGCATGAGAAAGAAAGTCAAGATTGCCCCACCTTGACTCTCTTTGGTGTAGGAGGGGAGAAAGGAGAAACACCATCATGTCATTATTATAGCTTAAATCTATGAAGTAGAGTTCCAGTATTCCTTGTGGCAGCTGTTCCCTGACCTGGCCTATCTTGAAGGGTTGAGAGGAGGAATCCAGGGCATGTTACCATCCACAGCGTGCGCCTTGCTTACTCGTGGATTAAATGGTTCCATGTCACTTTTTGGACAGAGTCCAATCTTTGATGGCAAGATTGGGGTTGTGCCTGCTTTTGTTCATTGCAGGTGATCATTTCTAACTTTTATTACTACCAAGCAACGTCCATATGCTTAAGTGAGCGTCCAGCAGAAGCCCTGATGTCAACATGATGCTACGTGCACCATGACATCATCATGCAAATGACGCAGATCATATATTTGCAAACACAATGGGGTTGTAATGCACACACCCCTTTCCCTCCTGCAATTCCCAGATATACATTTTTAATGCTTGATTGATTTTATTGTAATTTATTTGTTTCATTGTTGTGAGCCACCCAGATTCATTGAGTCAGGTAGCATACAAGTTTAATAAATAATTACTATTATTATTGGAGTGGCAAAGTTTGAATTCTGTCTCTGGCCATTTGCTTTCCAGCATGCCAAGCCCCAATCAGTGAGTAACAAGGATCTGGTTTTTCTTTTGGACTGGGTTCACACATTGTACTAACCCTTGTTTCATCATGGTTTATTGAATAAACTGCCATTGGCTAGGTTCACACAGCACCCAAACTTTCTCCCTCAGTTCACCTTAGGAATCTCTTTCCCCAACTCAATTCCACTGAATGCGGCTGGACACTAGCATGCAGGAATTATGGGAACTGTAGTCCAGAACACCTGAAAGGAGCCAGATTGAAGACAACAACCTTTGAAAGGGCTGTTTGGGTTTTACTTTTTATTTAGGATATTTGTATTCCACTTCCCATGTTTAAAAACCCCTCAGAGGGGGCGGGGATAAAATAATCAACAATTAAAACAATAAATTAAGAATGCAAGCGTACATGACAACACTGGATAACATACACAGCCAGCAATATTGTAACAAACCAAGCCACCCACTTTCCTTGCCTGGGAAGGAAGGAAGAGATCAACTTTCTCCCAAGAGGACAACTGAGGCAGGATACTCTCTCTCCCTGCCCTACCTCACAGGGTTGTTGTTGTTGGGGGGTTAAAAGGGGGACTTCTATTTGTGCCACCTTGAGCTCTTGAAGAAAAGGGCTATACGTGAAAATAATAATACTAATACTGATAATCACGTGATCGTACGATGAATAATAAACTTTGCCTGCCTCTTTTTAGCATTTCCAAATTCCTCTGCGTCGCACTGGAAAAGCAATCCCGCCTCAGCCCCGCGCTCCCGGCTCTCTACTCACCCGCGCCGCTCCCGCTTCTCCTTCCTCCCGCCTCTTTGCAACCTTACCGTAAAAATACAAGCGGGAGCAACCCTGCTGGGAGGCAGATGCGACTCTCCCCCCACTCCCATCCCTGGGAATTTTCAAAAAGCCCATTTCCGGGGGAGGAGCCAGGCTAGGAAGAGGATTTCGAAGTTCACATCCTTTTGCAATTCAAAAAAAAAAAGGGCGACAGACGAGGCGTCCCGTCTAGCCCTCCGCCGCTTCGCTCTTTCTGATCCTTCTCTGTTTGGCTTTGGGGAAAGGAGTTTTTTTTTGGGGGGGGGTTGGAGAAACACCCCCCCCCTTGGTCCTCTGGCCCCAAAACGAAAAGAAGTCTTGAAGTCCACCCCTCTTAAAGTTGCCCAGGTTGAGAAACCCTGCCATAAAGGAAGCCTTTGCAGTTCACAATTCATGGGGCAATGAGTTTCGTAGGGTTAGGATGTTGAGCAGAGTACAGCAGTGCTCCCAGAAACCCTTTGCCCAGGGAAAAAATACACACCAGCATGATAGGTTTGCAAACTGCAATGTCCCTATCTTGTTCTCCAAAGAAACTCAGCCGGAAAATATATACTATCTGGTTGTTTATTGATAAAAATGCAAAACTTCATAAAATACAAGTTGTATAAAAAATATAGGAAAAACCACGTCTTCTCATATATTCAGCATCCGAGACTTATCCACAAACATAAA